GGCAGGCAGTATAATGGCTGTTGACTCTAACAAATGATGAATCCAAGATCACCAGGCTTAATGGTGGATTGTTTGCTCATGAGCAGTTGTAGTCAGCACAACAGGATCCCGATCCACAGAAGAGTGTCTCATTTTCCCAGGATGTCCATAAATATATTGGAAGTAGGCCACACCCCCAGGGAAACTCCCCCTCAAGGATTAGCTGCTCAAAACATATACATCTGATGCCAACATGGGGAATAACCCACATGACAACTGCTTAAACCACACAGAATTGTGGTCTAGCCAAGTTGACACACAACTCCAACTATCACATCATGGATGATCTTGATGTCATCTCACAATTCATCTGGTTTTTAATCATTGGCGTTCATTTCAGCAAATCTATTCTTTAGATGATCTCTACATTTAGGAGGGATATAATCAAGGTCATATTTTGGCTCTCATGGACTACTTTTAATTGTCTTCAGCTTCAACTTGAACTTGCATATGAGCAGTTGATGGTCTGTTCCACAGTCAGCTCCTGGCCTTGTTTTGGCTGAAGATATTGAGCTTCTCCACACCTCTTTCCACAGATGTAGTAAATCTGATTCCTGTATACTCTATCTGGCAAATTCCACATGTATAGCCACCATTTATTGTTGAAAAGAGCTATCTGCAATGAATAATTTGTTGGTCTTGAAAAATTCTATCATGTGATCTCCAGTGTCACTTCTATCACCAAAAAAAAGAAACTCACTGCCATGAGATTCCAACTCATAGTGACCCTTCTTTGGGTTTCCACGGTGGTATCTCTATGCAGGTAGATAGTGCAATCTTCTTTCAGAGAAGTGGCTGGTGGGTTTGAACCACCTGCCTTTTGGTTAGCAGTCAAATGCCTTAGGCACTATGCCACCAAATCACCAAGGCCATATTTTCCAACTACCAGTGATTCTTCTTTGTTTCCAACTTTTGCATTCCAATCACCAGTAATAATCAACACATCTTGATTGCATGTTTGGGCAGACTGGCGAAGTTGGTAAAAATCTTCATCTTCCTCATCTTTGGCTTTGGTGGTTGGTGCATAAATTTGAATAATAGTAGCATTAAATATCTTCCTTGTAGGCATATGGATATTATTCTCTAACTGACAGCACTGTACTTCAGGATAGATCTTGAAACATTCTTTGTGATGATGAATATACTATGCCATTCCTCTTCAATTTGTCACTCCTGGCATAGTAGATCATGTGGTTGTCTTATTCAACATGACCAAAACCAGTCCATTTCAGCTGACTAATGCCTAGGATATCAATCTTTATGCATTCCATTTTGTTTTTGACAATTTTCCTAGATTCATACTTTGTACATTCCATGTTCCAATGATTAATGGATGTTTGGAGCTGTTTCTTCTTATTTTGAGTCATGCCACATCAGCAAATGGAGGTCCTGAAAGATTTACTCCATCCACATCATTAAGGTCAATTCTACTCTGAGGACCCAGCTCTTCTCCAGTCACATATTGAGTGCCTTCTGATCTGAGGGCCTCATCTTCTGGCACTATCTCAGACAATGTTTCAGGGCTATTCATAAAGTTTTCTGGTAGTACATAGTAATATATCAGACAGTGTTTCACTGCTATTTGTAAGGTTTTCACTGGCCAATTCTTTGAGAAGTGGATGGCCCCTTCCTTCTTCCAAACCTGTCTTAGTCTGGAACCTCCACTGAAACCTGTCCACCATGGGTGACCCTGCTGGTATTTGAAATACCAGTGGCATAACCTCCAGCCTCACAGCAACACTCAAGCCACCACAGTATGACAAACTGACTGATAAGTGGTGGAGAGAAGCACTAGATAACCAAAACAGTGAGTCAATTTTAATTATAGTAGTACTACCTGGTGTTGGGAGCTCTAGTAGCATAGTGCCTAAGGCACTTGACTGCTAACCAGGAGGCTGGCAGTTCAAACCCACCAGCCACTCCTTGGAAGGAAGGTTGGGCAATCTACTTCTGTAGTGATACTACCTCAGAAACCCAAGGAGGGGTCGTTGTAAGTCGAGTCTGACTTGATGGCAAATAACAACAACAACAACCTGGTGTTACTTGTAGGTGTATGGATATTATCTTGTCACTGACAGCACTGTACTTCAGGCTAGATCTTGAAATGTTCTTTTTGATGATGAACACAACACCATTTCTCTTCAATTTGTCCTTCCTGGCATAGTGCACCATATTATTGATACAGTCCCTTTCAGCTCACTAAATCCTAGGATATAAATCTTTATGTGTCCCATTTCATTTTTGACATCTTCCAATTTTCCTAGATTCATACTTCATACATTCCATGTCCTGATAATTAATGAATGTGTGCAGCTAGCTGTTTCTTCCCATTTTGAGTCATGCCCCATTAGCAAATAAAGGTCCTGAAAGCTTTACTCCATCTACATCATTAAAGCTGACTCTACTTTGAGCAGCCAGCTCTGTTCCATTGGTATTTGAGTGCCTTCCAACCAGAGGACCTCATCTTGTGGCATTATATCAGACACTTCTGTCTGATATAGGTTTTCAGTGGCCAATTCTTTAAGAAGTGGATGGCCCCTTCCTTCTTCCAAGCCTGTCTTAGTCTGGACACTATTCATAAGATTTTCAGTGGCCAATTTTTTCAGAAGTGTATGGCCCCATCCTTCTTACCACTCTGTCTTAGTATGGAAGCTCTGCTGAAACTTGTCCCCCCTGGGTGATCTTGTTGGTATCCCCAATCCCAGTGATATATTCTCCAGACTCTCAGCAACACACAAGCCACTACAGTATGACAAACTGACAGATGAGTGATGGCCAGTTAATATTACTATTATTCAATTTATGCACCAAGCACTAAATCCAAAGATGAAGAAATTGAAGATATTTACCAACTTCTGCAGTCTAAAATTGACCAAACATGGAATCAAGATTATTGATAATTACTAGTGGTTAGAATGGGAAAGTTGGAAACAAAGAAGCAGAATTGGTAATTGGAAAACATGGCCTTGGTGAATGCTCATCAGAAGGGAGAACGGTCAGACTTTGTCTCTCATACTTTGGTCACATTATAAGAAGGGACCATTCCCTGGAGAAATATATCATGCCTAGTGAAGTAGAGGGTCAGCAAAAAGGGGGAAGATCCTCAGTGAGATAGATTGACACAGTGACTGAAATGGAGGTTCTAGCATAGCAACAATTATGAGGATAGCCAGGACCAGGCAGTGTGTTGTTCTGTTAAATATAGTGTCACTATCAGTCAGAACCAACTCAACAGCACCTAACAACAACAAGGTGGTATTGAATAACTATTAAATAAGTAATATAATAAATAAATGAATATTACTTTCCTAGGCCTACCTACCACCACAAAGTTGGTGATTTAAACAACAGAAGTTTATTCTCTCACAGTTCTGGAGGCCAGAAGCCTAAAAGCAAGATGTCAGTAGGGCCACACTCTCTCAAAAACCTTACGGTAGAGTTTTTCCTTGTCCCTTACAGCTTTTCCTGGATCCAGGCATTCCTTGGTTTATGTGTGTATTACTCCAGTGTCTCCCTTCTTCTTTACATAGTCTTCTCCTCTTTCTCTGATTCCTCTGCTGTCTCCTATACAGACACTTGGCATTGGACTTTGGTCCCACCCTGATGGATGATCTCAACTAGAGATCCTTAATTTAATTACCCACAAAGTCCTCTTTCCAAATAAGTTCACATTCACTGGTTCCAGAAATTAGGACACTGACATACATTTTCAGGAGCCATGATTCAATCTACTACAAAGATTGAATGGACAAGTAAATGTACCAAAAAGCATGGACCATCTTAAGTCAAAATAGCCACTTTTTTCCTTAACATTGTTCTTGTTTTGACTGCCACAAAAGGAAACAGGTTACATAAGACAAATCAAGCTGGTGATTTAATAAATTCCAATGTAAGTCACACCAGTATTGGTAAATAATATAATTAAGCACTCATATAAGAGCTAAAGCAGCAACACAGCAATGGCTTCAATGTGAAATTATTAGATAATATATAAAGAAATATAAACAAATATTCATATTATATTTTATTATATTACATATTAAAAAACTCACTGTCATATATAGATGTATATAAGTGCTGTTACTGCATTTATATAGTACTCTCTCAAATACCTAGTTACTATAATAACGTACAATACCAAAAAAACCAAACTCACTGCCATTGAGTCGATCCCAACCCATAGAGAACCCTCCTTGGGTTTCTGAGGCAGTATCTGTATGGAAGTAGATTGCCCAATCTTCCTTCCAAATAATGTACAACAGAAAGTACTATATTTACATGATTATAAGATCAAGGCAATAAAAAAATGGTTATTCATTTTTACTCTAAATTAAACATGGATAATCTGACCATTTTGGTTCATTGGTTATTTGCATGTAGTCCAATTTGTATTAAAGCAAATTGATTTTAATTGATAAGGTGTTAATGTTTGTGTTTTGTAGATGATAATTCTAAGTGAAAATGTTTGTCTAATGTTTAAATATTTAATGTGTGTCTGAAAAAGAAAATAAGGAATGAGAAATGTTTTTGAGAAGTGTATTGATTTCTTAAGACAACAGATTTCAATTGAATCAAATATTTTAAGTATTTTTTCTTCACTTTTATTTTGCATATGTCTGTTTGACACAATACTAACATTTAAAAGAGTTCTTAGAAAAGTCTCTTCATTGAACTTAATTTAATAATGTCATTAGTGAATTAGGCTTCAAATGTCCTTCACTTGGGAAAAATGTTGTGAAAACCAGGCCATCTGCTGAGGTACTACAGTTACATTTGGCCCTCAGAATGTTTTAGGACTCCAGATTATATGCCCTCAAAACAAGTTCACCTTGATCTTTTACATTAAGTCCACAATATCTCAGAGACAAAATTTGACATAAATCTAAACCTGTGATGTTACCACACAAAAAAAGCAGGAATAAAACAGGAACTTGGGTTTGGTTACAATAAAACATCAGAAGTACCAGAAACCCAAGTTTTGAAGCTCTATCAATAGGAAAGTATGGCAAACAGTGCCTCTCCTGAACAGAATCAAAATCACTGCTCAGCCACCAACAATAGCATCCTGCTGATACAAGGCAACCTCCCCACCCTGACCTTATCCGGAAAGATCCGAGTAACAGTTACTTTCTTACTTTTGCTACTTTCCACAGCCTTTAATGCTTCTTTCCTGTTGAAACTTCAGAAGTGGACTCAAAAGAAATTGAAAGGGAAAAAGCTTTCAAGAATGAAGGTCCTTTTAAAACATCTGACCTTAGCCAACCTGCTGGAGACTCTGATTGTCATGCCACTGGATGGAACGTGGAACATAACAGTCCAATGGTACGCTGGAGAGTTCCTCTGCAAAGTCCTCAGCTATCTGAAACTTTTCTCCATGTATGCCCCAGCCTTTATGATGGCAGTAATCAGCCTGGATCGCTCCCTAGCCATCACGAAGCCCATAGCTATGAAAAACTACAGTAAATTCAGACAATCCATGATCAGCCTGGCCTGGATCCTCAGTAGTGTTTTTGCCGGACCACAGGTAAACATTACTCGTGAATTTGTTAAAATATGGAGATCACAGATTTCCTCCCTAAACTTGAGTTAAGGTCTTTTCAAAGGCAGTAGTGTATTAGCCTTAAGATCTTGGCATCTGGAAGTCACAGAATGTGGGGTTTAATCCTGGCTGCTCTACATTATCTTGAGAAAATTACTTAACCTCTCTGGGTTTCAGTTCTTCTATACGTATAGCATAGTGCCTAAGGCATTTGACTGCTAACCAGAAGGCTGGCAGTTCAAACCCACCAGCCACTCCTTGGAAGGAAGAATGGGCAACCTATTTCCATAGCAATACTGCCTCAGAAACCCAAGGAGGGGTCATTATGAGTTGGATCTGACTCCATGGCAGTGAGCTTGATGCGCTCTCTCTCTCTCTCTCTCTCTATATATATATATATATATATGTATATATATATGAATAAAATGGGGAGGTATATCTGCCTCATATGGCTTTTGTGATGATTAAATGAATAATGTGTCAAATTGTCTAGCATAATCATCTCTGGTACGTAGTAAATGCTTCCCCAAAAAGGTAGGTATTCTCAAAAGTGACCTTTTTCCCATTCCTTTCCTCTATTTTTCCTTTTTATCTAGTTGACATGAATTTAATTGCTAATTGAGAGAACTTTTAAGAACTATGGAATTTGTATAGGTAGAAAGTATTTGCAACTTGTCTTATTTGGGATTTCTTGACTGGAAACTAAGAATTCTGTCACTGCAGTTTATACCACTAACCAGAAGCCATTGAGTCAATTTTGATTCATGAAAACCCTATGTGTGTCAGAGTAGAACTGTGCTCCATAGCTTCTCAATGGTTGAGTTTTCAGAAGTAGATCACCAGCCTTTCTTCTGAGGCATCTCTGAGGACTCAAATCTACATCTTTTTAGTTAGTAGTCAAGTGCATTAACTATTTGCACCACCTACAGATTCTCATTGCAGTTTAAGGAGAGTTATTCTTGATTGGTATATTGTTCTGCCGTCCACATCAGGATGAAACTGAGTATGGAGGAAAAGTGGGAAATCTTGGACTTTTGGAAATTTGACTATTTCCCTGAAGTTGACTTGGATTTTGCTGGAGGTAGGTTAGACTGTGGCAAGCTTTTAGCAAGGATATATGGTTGCTAGCGTAAGCATGTTATTGTTGTCGTTATGTGCCCTCGAGTCAGACCTGACTCATAGTGGCCCCTCCTTGGGTTTCCAAGGCGATATCACCACGGAAGTACATTGCCCAACCTTCCTTCCGAGGAGTGGCTGATGGGTTTGAACCACCAGCCTTCTGGTTAGCAGTCAAGTGCCTTAGGCACTATGCTACCAGAGCT